AGGAGCACTGCAACACGAACATGATAACCATTTCCCCCCAGAGATTACATGTAATTAAAATATATTTAATATTATGGGATATCGCATTACATTGCATGCAGGCATAGACAATTAATTAAAATATTTTATGATGTGGCGTACCACGTGGGGCCATGGGTAATTTACGCAGTCAGTAGCCGTAAATTCAAAACGATAAATTCCGAACAATGCGGTTCATATCTGTAATATATATTGCACCATGTATACATCACGCCTGTCGCGAGGCTTTGTTCTATTTCTGCGAAGATAAGGGAATTTTATATAAAAAGAGACGACATTAAAACATCGGGGACATCCAATAACACGGATCGAGAACATGCGACGTGTTTACTGAAAGGCATAGCAAGTAATACGAAATATGGTATTTCATACGAACAAGGGATAATTCTTGTAGATAACTGACTTGCTATGGAGACAACCAAAACGTTGACAATTCTCAGAGAGAAAGGGATAGAGAGACCATTCGCTAGCATAGATTCAGGAGAGAAAAGCATTGCAGAGAATTGAAAATGTGCGTTCATGCATGGGCCTCGGATTGCCGGGTTAACACCCTATTTTAATACACAGGACACAAAGTTATACTCCTTTCACTGTTAAATTACTCCCCACTCTCCGGCAACAATAATAATTATGCGTAGAAATAAGTGTTACGCATTGTAGTGAGGTTGTTCTCATTATTATATGTAAAATTTTAACAATATAATCAACCCGACCTATTCACGATCTATTACCGGAGTTCTTAAAAAAAACATCCCCGCCCACGCTGTATATCGCATTACAAAACTGCCGCAAGAGGTTGGCAAGTCTTCATCTTACTGGTTTACTAAAGAGCTCTCTGTCTACGTGTTTTGTCATACTCAGTGACCCTCGGCTGTCTATCCAATATATACTGTGAATGTCAACGAGGTCACAGCTATCAGGGTGTACTACGTGTGAATTGTACTCGATACTTATACAGGGACGGACCGTAGTGAATAATTAGTTTTCTCGTTCGCAATGCCACTTGAAGCACGGTTGACGGTTACAGAAATCTCCTTGGCGCCAACTTGAACTATAGAATAATAAGTAGGAGTCGACCATTTAAAATCATAGGGGTGGCTGAAAGATTGATATAAAAAATGCAATATGCACCGAGCGAAAAAAATGCATTGTAGGTGTTGTAAGGGGGAAATACTGAAACATTCAGGAAAAATAAAAATATGCAGGCAAGACATCTTGTTATTTCCGATGTAATGAGCACTATACTCCGATGTCATTACCGTGGTTTGTTTACCGGTGTACTCAGTTGGTCTGGGCAAATTTGCTTAAACAATCATGTTTGTCTTCCATCAAAATTGAGCGGATTCCGGAAATGTGATTGGAATAAATTCGCAGAAGTCGTGAATGGTTGAGTGCGTTGCGATTGTACATTCGTCTACTTTGACGCATCGTTGACTACATTCGCCTAGAATGTTGTCTAATTACATGGGTCGTAAAACACTGCACACTTTAGAATTCCCTTACAGACCCTGACAAGCAAACATGACTCACGTATGCTTACGGCTTACCCAGTCTTACTCAGGATTCACTCTTTAGGTATTGTCACGTGACCATGCCATATTTCCAATCATCGTATGTACAACATATTTCGTTTACAACGTTTGCCCCTCACCCGCATCACTGCCAAAAATTATTGGCCGAGTCATAAACCCTCGAGGAGTGTCGGAGGAGGGGGATTCCTGCAATTTGGGTTTATTGAATCGACTTTGATTTCTGTCGCGTGGCCGAGCAGGGATGTAATCATCCACGTTAGATCGCCTTTCGGCCATCATTTTTTGTGTGTGTGTGTTAATAACATTTTTTTTTATTCCGAAATAAAGAAAAAGATACAGAGCAGATGACAAAATCCCCCCTGGAAAAAAAAAGTACATGACAAACGCTGTTTGGTATACGATGGTGAGACAAAAACAAAAGCAAGATTAATTTACTTGTATTAAGCCAACCAATTATTTAAGAGCTCCCATTTACGATAGCGATATTGTTCCTTTCCTTTATATAGGGCTATTTCCAACTCTATTTTTCTATTTTCACGGACTAGTGATTTAAACGCAATTGCAGAAGGGATTGTAGCATTTCTTCTACAGCTATAAATATACTTTTTGAACTGTAAAATAAAATGGTTCAAAATTAGATTGTCATCATTTAAGATATCTAAAATTATATTTACTTTATTACACTCTATTTGTTGAATAATACTACACCCTGCCTACAATGCGTTCCATAATTTTTGAACATGCATTAACAGGTAGGTATCTATGTAAAATTTGAAACTGAAAAGCTCTTATGGCTGAAGCTATAGTTGTCTGAAAAGGAAGTGAAAATATCACATTACTCATTTCCGAGGATACACCATACAGTTCTTGAAATCGGCTGACAATGGTTGGAGTTTCAACAATATTTCTGCATAACAATTTATAAATTTGTTTACTTGTAGTTGAATTAATATCTATATAGGAATATTTGCAATAAATCTTTTCACCATAATCAACCTTTGTATGTCTGTTTCTATGAATTATACTTTTCCATTCCCTTGGAATAGCATCTATTATGCCCTGAATTTGGAAAAA